CATCGATGCCACTGCTGGGATCTGTGGAGAGGGAGAGGTTTCAGAGGAAAGTTAGCACGCCTGCCTCGCAAGGAGAGAAAGAGAGTCCATGAATTTCATTCTCATAGGAACCATATATTGCGCCTCCAAGGGGCAGATCTGCTGTTAACACAAGAATTACTCAATAAAGTTATACATTTTTTTAAAAAAGTAGTCTGTGGCTGCTCATATTATGAATATATCCATGTATTATTAGTATATGAATATTTGGAATTATTAGATGGAAATGATAATGATTTTGAAACTCTAATTTCATTATCATTTTTCTTTTCAGTTGGTTACTGTTTACTTTACTGACTATTTTTTTTCTATCACTAACTGCAAAATTAGAAAAATGTTGAAAGTGGCGAAGTGTCTTAATAATTAATTACAGCTGTGTTTATGCCTCCAGCACACTCTGATTCAGAGGCAGTTTTAGACCGAGCATCAAACACTGGAACAAAACACTAAAGTATTTATTTCCATCTAAATCTGCATACTTTCATGTTTTGCCTTGTAAATGTTTTCAGAAGAAACTTTGATCTCCTCTCAGATTTCAGCAGAGTTCAGACAATTCCACGTTTATCCTTTGACTCTGACTGTCTGAGCCTGGAGCTGCCAAATGGACAGCTCGAATTACTTAACATGAAATATTCAGCTCCTCAATCGATTACAGTGGTGCATTGATTTGCACTGAAACGCCTCACTCTCAGGAAGTGAGGTTCATGTTCTTAAAATATCGACATAATTCCGACCTGGAAAAGAGTACCTCACAAAAAACCAGGGATGTCACATCCTAGAGTGACTGTAGAGCTGCGTTAAAGATCTTTGAGAATGGAATCTTCAATCTTGACTAAGAGAAGTTTTTAATTTGGACAATCACAGACTTGTCCAATGATTAAATCCCTGCAGTAAACAGAAGGGCATTTAAAGGAGGAATTGAAACAAACCAGTAGCACAGACTTACATGAGTGCAGGTTATCATCCTGAGCTGTGGTTGTTTTCTGAAGAATCAGTGTCACAAACGGTACAAAATAACCCAGAAATGTGTACATCTGAACCATGAAGGAGGAGCAGTGAGGAGCGAGAGACCGTCATCTGCCCTCTCCAGAGGGAAAGTTTGAGGAGCAGGGAGCCCAGTGGTCAAAAACAACTGCACACATTACCCTCTCACTCCACACCCATATGGTGCAGCCACTGGCACCAGTTTCATTTCAGAGATTAAGAATAGGGAATGGAGGACAGTTAGTGCAGGAGAGGAAGAGAGAGCAGCTGTTTTTTTCCTAACATTTTGAGCTGCCTGCCTGCTGAGGAATCTTCTGAATCCAGCAGCTCGGTGTAGGTGCAGTTAACGCAGGGGAACGGCAACAGACAGCTGTCAGTGAGTACGACAAATGTGGTGCCACATGAGCAGGAGAGACAAGTTGTCATCCTCTCACGTCCTTATCAGCAGTCACTGGTGGTAATGTAAAGTTTCTACGCTTGCTAACAGATACCCACATTTTTTAGCATTTTTAGGTTCAAAGAAATGAAAAATGTAGTAAGTGAAACTGACTATTTTTTTTCTATCACTAACTGCAAAATTAGAAAAATGTTGAAAGTGGCGAAGTGTCTTAATAATTAATTACAGCTGTGTTTATGCCTCCAGCACACTCTGATTCAGAGGCAGTTTTAGACCGAGCATCAAACACTGGAACAAAACACTAAAGTATTTATTTCCATCTAAATCTGCATACTTTCATGTTTTGCCTTGTAAATGTTTTCAGAAGAAACTTTGATCTCCTCTCAGATTTCAGCAGAGTTCAGACAATTCCACGTTTATCCTTTGACTCTGACTGTCTGAGCCTGGAGCTGCCAAATGGACAGCTCGAATTACTTAACATGAAATATTCAGCTCCTCAATCGATTACAGTGGTGCATTGATTTGCACTGAAACGCCTCACTCTCAGGAAGTGAGGTTCATGTTCTTAAAATATCGACATAATTCCGACCTGGAAAAGAGTACCTCACAAAAAACCAGGGATGTCACATCCTAGAGTGACTGTAGAGCTGCGTTAAAGATCTTTGAGAATGGAATCTTCAATCTTGACTAAGAGAAGTTTTTAATTTGGACAATCACAGACTTGTCCAATGATTAAATCCCTGCAGTAAACAGAAGGGCATTTAAAGGAGGAATTGAAACAAACCAGTAGCACAGACTTACATGAGTGCAGGTTATCATCCTGAGCTGTGGTTGTTTTCTGAAGAATCAGTGTCACAAACGGTACAAAATAACCCAGAAATGTGTACATCTGAACCATGAAGGAGGAGCAGTGAGGAGCGAGAGACCGTCATCTGCCCTCTCCAGAGGGAAAGTTTGAGGAGCAGGGAGCCCAGTGGTCAAAAACAACTGCACACATTACCCTCTCACTCCACACCCATATGGTGCAGCCACTGGCACCAGTTTCATTTCAGAGATTAAGAATAGGGAATGGAGGACAGTTAGTGCAGGAGAGGAAGAGAGAGCAGCTGTTTTTTTCCTAACATTTTGAGCTGCCTGCCTGCTGAGGAATCTTCTGAATCCAGCAGCTCGGTGGAGGTGCAGTTAACGCAGGGGAACGGCAACAGACAGCTGTCAGTGAGTACGACAAATGTGGTGCCACATGAGCAGGAGAGACAAGTTGTCAACCTCTCACGTCCTTATCAGCAGTCACTGGTGGTAATGTAAAGTTTCTACGCTTGCTAACAGATACCCACATTTTTTAGCATTTTTAGGTTCAAAGAAATGAAAAATGTAGTAAGTGAAATTATATGAAACAATTATATATATATATAAATATTTTACTTTGGCAAAAAGCACTTTTGCAATGTGACTCACGCTGCGCTGGTCGAAAGAGGTCGCTGTTACTGCTGTCAACAGACTGGTTGCTGGGTACAGGAGAGAGGCTGGAGCTTCGGGTGAAGCCAAAGGTAGTGAGACGAGAAGAAGGCAGAGCAGAGAACCCTGGAGGACGGAGACCAGACT